TCAGTATAGAAAACAGCTTGAAAGGTTAAAGATAAGGTCAATCGGTTTCATTTCATGATGCTGATATGGAGGTTCAACCTACAGACATTGCAATATTGTTAAGCCCCATTTACAATTTAACATTTTGTCAGGTACCACTAAAATTATTATCTTCTGACCTGGAAAAACAGAACAGATAACAGATAAAAAAGACCATCATGTACTGCCTATATAATGTAGATCAACAAACAATTAGAACTGGAAGAAATTTCATTAATGCGTCTCAATTTCATATTTTCGTAAGTGGGGGGGGGGTCCGCCTCTACAGTTTCTACCATAGTTAATATTTGCATCTGTTTTGTTACTTCTCATGATCTGATCAGTTAATAACCGGGAAGCTGATAAGAAATACAAATGGAAGTACTTGACATAATCAAGTTTAGAATACACAATTCATTTGTAAATTCCAATTACTGATAAGAAACCACAATGGACAAAATCTCAAATTGGCCATAGTAGTCTTATTTGTGTAATATAATCATTTGGAGGATTCTATCACATGGTGAACAATTTGTATTGAATATCGTGTGTTTCTATATCACCTGTTATTAGGTTATAGAAGAGTAATCTGAACGAACAAAGCGACGCATTGTGCTGGAACGTAATAATCATAGGTAAATGTTATAATCAATACAAGTAAAAGACAATTTGTGTAACACATGGTTAATAAACTAGGTATATTAGCGCAGCAAACAGTTATCAATTACCATGGCTTCTAGACAGATGGCCATTCTTACAACATACCATACTGTAATATGTCAACTAACACAAACCTAAACACAAATTAGGAGATTGAAATGTAGCAGAGATGTCAATATTCGGTATTCTGTGTGATTTTTTGTATATATCTGGGGAGGCTTTGATTCTTCTGTCCGGTGATATCTCAAATTTATGTACAGTAGAATCTGTATGAGCAGCCACTCCTATTCAGTGACATCTCCATGTAAGCGGTCACGATAAATTCCCCCCGTAAAATTCCATTGTTTCATCTCTTTAATCAACAGTCACTCCTCTAACGCGACCAGCGGTCATTATTTTACTAATAAATTTAACAAAACATCACTCATTCAACGGCCACTGTTGACTGATACCATCTTGCCGTAACATCCCGGCTAATCCCGTGATTAATAGTTAATTAACTGGCCCCCCACTGATCAGGTAAAAAAAATAACAATAAACCCGGGATTATCTTTTAATTAATCTTTTGTTTTATTAAACGACAAACTGATCATTGTTTTCACATGTAATGAAACATTATTTGACACTGATTGAATAAACTAAAAAGTACTGACGAAGCCGATTTTTGACACGATCATCTCTTTTCCATTGACGCACTTTGTTGCTAAACAGCCGTTTAAGCGCCTCCTATGTTACATACAGAGTTACACCACCTGAAAATCGGTGACAAATTCAGCGGTGCTTTTTTGATAAAATAAAATTAATTCATGGATTTTCTTCATAAAAATGGATCAATATTATCGAATGCATCACAATGGTAGACGGTAGTATCAATGTTGGTACAAAATGACAAGGTCAGAGAAGTTATGTCGGAGATTTGAATCAAAGAATTTTCGATCCAAGCAAGTTTCAGCGACGGCCAAATTTACCGATGCAAGTATTGATGTTTGCTTCCAATGCTCCCAAGCGTAATATTTAATTGATGTCAGCACAAAAACACTGAGATTTTATTAAGAGGCCACTCCTGTTAAGCGGTCAGTCATGAAAATACCCTTGAGTGGCTGTCTAATACAGATTCTACTGTATATACTTTCTACCGACTTGGTCCTGGAGAATTCCCTTTGGTTCACTTGGGCAAGGGGTATATTTGGAATTAATGCCAGGGGTCGTGGGTTTGACTATCAGCAGGAGCATTTTGTCACAGTAACAATATATTAAAGTAGGCCAAAGAGCAGAGTTACATGTCCTTCAAATGTAAAGGTAAACAATCTTCATAAAATCGGATGAATCAACTCCAATACTCAATGTCAAGTTTGTGCAAATAATTTGTATGGAACTTATTTACTATTGTCAGGTGTGCAATATGAGTGCATTGTCTTTGGATTCAGCATGGTCGTCAATCCCTACCAGGTATACATTACTTGTCAACCCCACAACCAACCTCACAAGATAACAAGTAGGCCTAGCCAAAAAAAAAAAAATCCATCAAGTCAACCTCTATCTCTGTTTGTACCACACCAAGGCATAAACGAATCAAATTCAGATTTTAGTCTGTTGTGTTTAAAGAATGTGTAGCGCTGGTTAATAACCGACGACAGGGTTTGGGGTATAGTAACTCTGCCACCAGTGATTGATATTAGGCCAATCACGAACCTCAGATAAAGTAAGCAAAACGCAAAGGCTCCTTTTCAGGAGACAAGGTTTGGAATTAACCAAAAGGTAATTCTCCTCAAGTATCCCCAAGCAAAGAATAAGAGAAGGGTACTTAAGTTTAATTGAGAAGGGTGTTACAACTCGCTACCCCGGTATGTTGATTAGGCGGTTTCATTAATTCAAGACTTTGATCGGTTACACTCAAGTATTAGCAAGATTACCTTCAGCAATTGCACAATACTATTTTTATATATAGACACAGTCCAATCACACTGTGAGAATGCATCGTTCGTTTCTAGAGTTTAACGTTTAGAGTTTAGAAATATATACATTATTTATATATAAATCGTTCAATAAATGGACATGAATAGGGTTATCTTCCCTTATAAAAAAAAAAAGGAACGAGAAGCGATGGCCGTTTCAAATGGATTGATTTTTAAAGGATGTCATATCCCAGCGGGCACGCAACGTTGTTACAACATTGTGACAACGTCAATATTGGTCGTGACGTTGTACAACGTGTTTTCGACCAATATTCGACGTTGTATTTACGTCATATACAGGTTGTTGACACAACGTTGTCACAACGTCATCAAAACGTTATCAAAACGTCATATACAGGTTGTTGTCACAACGTTGTCACAACATTGTCACAACGTCATCAAGACGTTATTCTAACGTCATATACAGGTTGTTGTCACAACGTTGTCACAACGTTATCAAAACGTCATATACAGGTTGTCGTCACGGCGTTGTTACAACGTTGTTACAACGTTGTCACAACGTTGTAACAACGTCTTCAAAACGTTATCAAAACGTCATATACAGGTTGTTGTCACAACGTTGTCACAACGTCATCAAAACGTTATTCAAACGTCATATACAGGTTGTTGTCACAACGTTATCAAAACGTCATATACAGGTTGTTGTCACCTCTTTGTTACAACGTGGTCACAACGTTGTCACAACGTCTTCAAAACGTTATCAAAACGTCATATACAGGTTGTTGTCACAACGTTATCAAAACGTCATATACAGGTTGTTGTCACGGCGTTGTTACAACGTGGTCACAACGTTGTCACAACGTCTTTAAAACGTTATCAAAACGTCATATACAGGTTGTTGTCACAACGTTATCAAAACGTCATATACAGGTTGTTGTCACGGCGTTGTTACAACGTGGTCACAACGTTGTCACAACGTCTTCAAAACGTTATCAAAACGTCATATACAGGTTGTTGTCACAACGTTGTCACAACGTTATCAAAACTTCATATACAGGTTGTTGTCACAACGTTGTTAAAACGTTGTCACAACATTGTCATAACGTTATCGAAACGTCATATATAGCAGTTCGAACCTTGACCTCTGATTGTCAAACCAAGGTCACCACGAGACTCCCAGGGGTCAATTTAGTTTAAATAGCCACGACCTCAAGGTCGTCGGATCCGATTTGGGATGGGCGAGTTATCTGCCCTTAGACCACACCGCTGTAATGCTCGGCTATTTCACTTTCTAGGGAAATTTGCCCCAAAAATGTCATCCGATCGCCCCGGGGTTTGGTGACCCGATAGACTGACCCAACATTTGTTCTTCATTTTTTAAAATCGCCAACCAAAAGTCGTGACCTTGACCCGCTAGGGGCCCCGGAAGTATTTTGGTTTTTGAACCCTAGGGGCCCATCTAATAAAGTCAGGACCACTGGACCTTGACCTTCCAAAATGTCATCTTGGTCCACATGACCCCGGTAGGTCAAGGTCATCAGAAAGGGTCAAGGTCACCAAAATATCTACTGAGTTCGATGCTCCCGGGCACATGGTGGGGCCCCTGGTCTGCGCGGCAAATCAAAGGTCATGACCATGGATAGGCAACTCATTGACCTTTCGAATGGGGCCTTGACCTTTGACCTGACCCTTGACCTTGGGATCGAAAAAGTCCCAAAACTTCATGAACAACCCAGATATCACGAATAAATCTCAAGGTCAAAGTCGTGACCCGCACCCGCAAGGTCAATTTTGGGGTTGTAACCTGAATCAAGGTTATGACATTGCCTGACATTCCCTGTTCCCGGCAGCCATTTAGGTAAAAAGTCAGATTCAAAATCCGGAGAGAAAGTGAAAGCGGAACTTTCAGAATGTTATTTGGAAGAAAATATTTTGCTTTCTTGTCAGTCAAATAAAGATCCCCAAATTCGATGATTTTTAAGTATAATAAAACATTTTCACTTTCTTGTCATTGAACACGGCGAATTTGTACTGCATTGATCGCGGATTGAAACATTTCGTCGGGTCCCACTCGGCGGTGTGCGACATCGGTCAGTTATTTGTTTTATAATTTTTCGGAAATCATAATTTCCTTTAATGCATTAAAGTTATTGGTGTACTAAATAGGCAATACTGGCTTGCTTTCATGTTGCTGAGCACACGGGTTGGGAAAGCAAGAAAAGGCGTTTGCGTCCGTCAAGTATTATAAAAATGTATTATGAACTTTAAACGAGATGCCTCTCCCGCACCTAAATGTCGCTGTTTTTACATCCGGTGTTTTTCAATTGAAATAATAACACAAAACACAGAAAATGGTGATTAATGCATATTGTGTAGTGTGCAGCGTTTGCTACACAAATTCAGTGCATAAAACAGGAATTGCAATGCGCTTATCTATAGAAATTGACGTATGATCTTGGGTACAGTTGTATTGGTTAACGACGTAGATCGAGATTTAATAACACAATACAAACTATAATACATTTTATTTAAGGCTTATTGTAAAACAACTAGAAGCTGACAAATATTCCGGTTAATTCTTCAGTAAATTATCTGGTAACACTAGCGGTTTTTTTTCCCGCGGAAACTGATAACGTGACTCTAAATGTTGCCGCGAAAGATGCTTCTGGGACGCCATATTGGTTTTTTGGTTCGTGCCGAAGGTAAGTTCTATTATTTTAACTCTCAACCGGGTATGTGGAAGGGATATAAAAATCGTCAATTGCTTCTTCTAAGGCTAATATAAGATCAGATAAAATTATATTGTATCTTAACACCCCATTAGGCTATTAGAGACAGCATACAAATACAAACAAAACATTAGGCTACCTACGCAACAGCATTATCAATGGCTATAAAACAACAAAAACACCAACTATATTTACATGTATGTAAAACACGCGCACCTATACATACATCATGTAGTAACAGAGACTATTATTATTAAGTTGAATATGAAAGCCCCTCGAATTTGATTACTGGCAATGTAGGTTTGGACTTTGTTGACTACCGCGATGTAAGTGGCGACGTTCATTTCAAAACACACTCAGACTGCAGCTGTGCCGAGTGAATTTCATATTTTTAAGTTATATTTTTAAAATGTATTAAAGTAAAGCTTTAAAATAGATGGTATCTATAAACAGTCCTACCTTGTTACAGAATAATCCTATTATTCCTATAATTCACTATTGCCAGTTGAGAAATTGGCCAAAATATCATTTTCAACTTCTAATTCAAATGTTTGCAGATAGTTTTTCCATGGGGGGGGGGGGGTAGAACAACAAAGGTGGTAATTGTGTTATTATTTCCGGTGTGAATGATTTTATAAGTGCCATAATGATACCTATGATCCTATAATATTGAGTTGACAGCCTATTGAGCAAAAGATATAGAAATAATTATGTTTTGACTTTCTTAAAAAATATGAAATTCTTGCTTTAACTTTTAAAACTAGCTGGACCAGCTGCATGATTGTGTCAGTCCGCTCAGAATACACGAGTCTAGGCCAAGCGACGTAGAATTTAGAACCGACGTGATCTGCACTTGTCTAGGCTAGACATTTGCGTTGATGTGTTGCGCAAGTAGATCTAACTAAATGAAATCTCTCATCATTAGTTTTTTCATATTACTCATATACATTGCCGTTAAACGAATAATTTGTGACACATAGCAAGCCATTTGATCTATTCTACACGTCACTGGGCTATTTGATTTGACGGAGTTTTGTTACCCACGGCAAAATCTCGATCGACGTAGACTTAACGCAATTTTTATCATTCGGCTTCACTAAACAAATTATTAATAAAAACAGCCGTAGATCGACATCTAATAGTGCTAATGTAAATTTAATAATACTATTCCGGTATAAAAAAAAAAGAAATAATAATAAAAGAATAATGAAATCAATTCAATCTCTTTTAAGTATTCAAATGATCATTTTAAGTAGATACCGTTATATTACTGAGCGCCATGGAAAACGCATCACTTTTTTTCCCAAATATTTTATTACTAGTTGGTTTTGTATGTATAATATTATGCAATACTATGAACTATTGTTTCACACAATGCTCCCAAACGCAAAAAAATTCGGCCCGTGTGCACAAAAAAAAATTGCATGAGATGCACATGAAAAACCCAATATTCACCTGCAGCATTGTGTGTGAGCCCTTTAAAAGCATGTTTTCAACTTAATGTGCTGTACATGAACTGTGAAACGTGAATTTGTCGTAATTTGTTGTTGGACGTGTGAAGGAATCGAGCTAGAGATGCCGAGACTTACTGAAAATCAACGGAATGAAGCCATGGGAATGTCCAGGGCTGGCATGTCTACGCGTGCTATTATTGCCAGACACCTCAATTGTCATCAGTCCACTACTGTAAGGTTGGTGGAACGTATTCGAGTTACTGGATCAACGCGTGACCGTCAACGTCCTGGTCCACAACGCGTTACAACCCAGGCTCAAGACCGCTACATCCGGGTCACTCATCTGCGTGACAGATTCTGCCCAGCGACTCAAGCATGTGCGGCAGTCGTCGAAAGAAAAGGACCAGTAAGTGCCAACACCGTAAGACGTCGTCTAAGAGAAGTAGGACTCGACGACGACCTTATGTTGGAGCTATCCTTAGGGATCATCACCGTCAGCGGCGTTTGATATGGGCTCAAGGACACACCAGGCATGGAGAAGAGTAGACTGGCAAAGTGTGCTCTTCAGTGATGGGAGTCGCTTTCATCTTTATCACGCTGATGGCCGTCAACGTGTGTGGAGACGTCTTGAGGAACGTCTTGCAGACTGCTGCGTCTTCGAAACGAATCGATGGGGTGGGGGAAGTGTAATGATGTGGGGAGGCTTCACATTTCATCACCGGACCGCCCTACACATTTGCAGGGGTCGCGTTAATGCTGTAGCCTACCGTGATGATGTCTTGCAACCAATTGTTGTTCCGATGTTTCGAGCGCACCCACAACTTCAGCACTTCCAACAGGATAATGCACGTTCGCATACCGCCCGTTTTAGTATGGACTTCCTGGCTGCTAACAACATCAATGTCTTGAACTGGCCAGCCATGTCTCCGGACATGGCACCAATAGAACATGTCTGGGATGAGATTGGACGCCGTCTGTATCGGAGACCACAGATGCACACCGTTGCTGCTTTAGAAGCTGCTCTTGTCCAAGAATGGAACAATTTGCCCCAGGCCTTCTTTCAAACATTGGTTAATTCCATGCGACGTCGCTGCACAGCGTGCGTAAAAGCCCGTGGAGGACACACGCGCTACTGACATCTGTGTCGTACTTTTGGTTTTGACCCCTCTGACTTTGTACCGTTGATTACAGATTAAACATCCATAAGTGTACAAATGTGTTGTTATTGATGTGTTCCCATTTGAATATTGTTCACAATAAGAAGCAAAATAAATAAGATATGTTTACAGGATCATTTTGTTATACGAAAATCTAAGTGATGCGTTTTCCATGGCGCTCATTGTATATAAGTGTGAAACCTGGCCATTATTTAATTAATTACAGTTCTAAGTGAATCCCAGCAAGCACAAAATATTTCAAAAACGTTTTTTGTTTTTGTTTTTGTTATTTTTCTTGTTTCTAAAAGGTTATGTAAAAAAAAAAATATTTATTGAACGTTTTTTAAATGTTTTAAGTGTAAGTTTTTCAGAAGTTTTCGATAAATATTGATAAAAATGTTTAATATAATATGTTTAGATAACGTTCATAATTGATGTTTTCTTACAAAATTTTCCATTAAAACGTAGTACCGTAAATATGATTTTTTTAAACGTTTATGAACCGTTTATAAAGAACCCGCAATGAATAGGTAACAATTACCTATACACGCCATTTGAAAAAAAATATTTTTTAAAAAACATTTATTAAACGTTTATTACACCTTTAAAACTTAATTACGTTCTTAACTTAATTGCAAAATATCTATATTTAATGTACCGGTATATAAAAAAAACCCAATAAAGGTCAAGATTAATTATCTTATACATATTTTATTTTAAAACACACCCAAGGTTGACAGTTGGCCCAATCAAATTTAAACATCTTTCCGCCAAAAAGGAATCCCAGCCAAACCTGCATGGCTGCTTTTATAGAGCTGTGATAAACTGTCGAGTTTTATAAGTTGCTAGAAGGCGTAACAGTTGAGAATTAGGTATGTTACGATTAATTAATATTTTGTGTCCATTTAGAAATAATTATGATATAAAAGAATTAATTGTTTCGGTAATTGTAGATTATTTTCTACTGGTGCCATTTCCACGTAGTCGAACTTCTATTGTCATTTCATTATTGAACCCTCCTTGCAAAGTAAATTGAGTATTTTAAATATGTTTTATTATCTCTTAAATGATTTATTTTAGTTCTGAAACTTTAGTGTTTTTATTTTATAATTGTATTGCATTTTAATCATTTAGTTTTTGGTCATTTGCTATGTCTGGATTTGGAAAGAGCTATTTCAATCTATGTCTGGAATTGGAAGGGGCCATTTCAATATTTATAGTATTGTATAATGGACTTTCCCATTATCTATTATCTTTAAATTTATAGGGTTACCAATTTCATGAATTGTTTAGATAAGTTGATACTACCCCAAGCTTTGCAGGGAGTGTTAATAATAATGTAACGTGTACAAAACTTCGAGCGGGAATTAATAAGACATTAATTTCCCGTGATATATTACAAATGACAAATGCTATATGAACTTTGTGCTGTATGAACTATTTATATAGTCTTCAGTGAATGAAAACATTTTGGCTACCATTCCTGGTTTTGAATGTCAAATATGATATGAAAACGAATATCGGTTTGTAATTTTTTTAACCGTTTCACCAGTAGTAACCGATGAACGGTTAACCAAGTCGCTGTATACATCTTAATTATTAGGCAACCAAGTCTACGATCTTAATTAAAAAGATAGGTTGACACGCAACAAAACATATATGCTCTGAAAATTAAATCTTGTACTTTGTCGATCTACGGACAGGTGGATATAATGCCGGGCTAGTGCGACTGTTAACACCACAGCTCTTTAATTACATGCTTGTGGGTTTTAGATTTAATTCAAGTGAAGGGTAATTTTATTATTAGATGTACAACATCAATATCCATGAGCATACACCTGCATAATTGAACTGACATTGATTGTAAATATTACAGTGATTGAAATATAATAATATACTAGATGTGTTTCATTTATTTCATGTTATAGCTATAGGTAACCCATCTGATGAGCATTGGTGGTTACCAGTTTAAAGTCGTATTCTTTCTTTTGAAAACAAATTGATAAAATAATCGTACATTCGTTTTCCAATCGTCTTCGTCTTAAAGGAGTCAAGTCTCTAACTCAATATCATCCACAGTCTTCGACATTGCAACCATGGGACTCATTGTTTAATTAAACCCAACATCAATGTTGTAACCGTGAAAAGATGGGCTTCTAATGTCCAATATTTAACACAAAGTTAAAGTTTTGAAATTGCCACACGAATCGCGCGCAAGAATGCTTTCAAATTTCATTTGTAATAGAGAGACTCGAAGAATGAAGTTAAATATACCCAAGAGAATACTATATGCGGGTGTAAACTTGAATAACCAGACGCCAAAGACTGGCATTCAATTTGGACTCTTCGCGTATGGGGGGTTGGATGGCCGAATGGTTAGCACGCGCACGCTGTATCATACGGTCTGTCATTGAGTCAACTGGCGGGGTTTCGATTCCCCGGTTGTACGTGACAAGGAGTTTGGTCGCCTGTCTAACCTGGTGGGTTTTCTCCGGGTCCTCCGGTTTCCTCCCACTGCTAAAAAGACCCCTACGCGCTAGCGAATTATTGAAATAAAATTGAACCATGTGTTAGTCCCGAAATGACCAAGTTTGTGTCAAGTGGACGTTAAACCCCATTTCTCTCTCTCTCTTCGCGTATTTCGCCGAACATAACTGATTAGACATTACAGTAAAAACAGAAACGATTAAATGTAAATCAGTTAATATACAAACATATTACATTATTATATGCGTTGCAACCCATTTATGTCCATATCTAGGTGTCAAGGAATGGAAAGTCAAAATTCGTGGTATTGTCAAACGCATAAACAGTATGTCTTTTTATTTTAACAGGTTGATGTCTAATTCCCTAATGGCCCAATTTAATTTAAAGGGAAATAAAGGGAGGCGGTCCATAATGGACTTAGAAATTTACAAAGTTGTCCGAGGTTTGTTTTTATCATACTCAATTTACGAACATATCCTTAAATATCTGATAATCAAACATGGTATGGGCATACACGAGTTTTTATTACTTCATCGATGAGTGTTGATCTTTTTATACGCCGACATTGAAATGTGGTCGTATATTGTCCTCGCCCCCGTCCGTTCGTCCGTCGGTCCGGCGTCCACAATTGCTTGATCACTTCAAAAAATCTTGGGGACGCTCTAGAGGCCAAAGTTAATATCCGATTGACTTTAAATTTATACACAGTGTTTAAGGTCATGAGACGAAGAAGCCTATTGATTTTCAGCGATTTCCGATAATTACTGCCAGAGTTATGGTCCTTGATCACTTCAAAAAATCTTGTGGACGCTCTAGAGGCCAAACTTAATATCCGATTGACTTTAAATTTTATACACAGTGTTTAAGGTCATGAGACGAAGAAGCCTATTGATTTTCAGCGATTTCCGATAATTACTGCCAGAGTTATTGCCCTTGATCACTTCAAAAAATCTTGTGGACGCTCTAGAGGCCAAAGTTAATATTCGATTGACTTTAAATTTATACACAGTGTTTAAGGTCATGAGACGAAGAAGCCTATTGATTTTCAGCGATTTCTGATTATTACTGCCAGAGTTATGGCTTTTGATCACTTCAAAAAAATCTTGTGGACTCTCTAGAGGCCAAAGTTATTATATCCTATTGACTTTAAATTTATACACAGTGCTTAAGGTCATGAGACGAAGAATCCTATTGATTTCCAGCAATTTACGATAATTACTGCCAGAGTTATGGCCCTTGATCATTTTGAAAAATCTTGTGGACGCTCTAGAGGCCAAAGCTAATAACCGATCGACTTTAAATTTACACATTGTGTTTAAGGTCATGAGACGAAGAAGCCTATTGATTTTCAGCGATATCCGATAATTACTGCCAGAGTTCTGGCCCTTGATCACTTCAAAAAATCTTGTGGACGCTCTAGAGGCCAAAATTAATATCCGATCGATTTTAAATTTATACACAGTGTTTAAGGTCATGAGACGAAGAAGCCTATTGATTTTCAGTGATTTCCGATAATTACTGCCAGAGTTATGGCTCTTGATCACTTCAAAAAATCTTGTGGACGCTCTAGAGGCCAAAGTTAATATCCGATTGACTTTAAATTTATACACAATGTTTAAGGTCATGAGACGAAGAAGCCTATTCATTTTCAGCAATTTCCGATAATTACTGCCAGAGTTATGGCCCTTGATAACTTCAAAAAATCTTGTGGACGCTCTAGAGGCCAAAGTTAATATCCGATTGACTTTAAATTTATACGCAGTGTTTAAGGTCATGAGACGAAAAAGCCTATTGATTTTCAGCAATTTACGATAATTACTGCCAGAGTTATGGCCCTTGATCACTTTGAAAAATCTTGTGGACGCTCTAGAGTCTAAAGTTAATATCCGATTGACTTTAAATTTATACACAGTGTTTAAGGTCATGAGACGAAGAAGTCTATTCATTTTCAGTGATAATTACTTCCAGAGTTATGGCCCTTGATCACTTCAAAAAACCTTGTGGATGCTCTAAAGGCTAAAGTTAATCTCATTGACTTTAAATTTATACACAGTGTTTGAGGTCACGAGGCGAAGAATCCTATTGATTTTCAAAGATTTCTGATAATTACTGCCAAAGTTATGGCCCTTGATCACTTTGAAAAATCTTGGGGACGCTCTAGAGGCCAAAGTTAATATCCGATTGACTCCAGATTGATACACAGAGTTTAAGATCTTGAGGCGAACAAGTATATTGATTTTCAATGAATTTTTATGACTTGAAACAGCTAAATCCATGATACAGTATTAAAAGTTTTGTATACAAAACGTTAGCATGGGGCAGAACTTTATAAAAACCTAACAAATTCTAATGGTTTTCTGAGTTGTTGCTCTTAATCAGATTTTAGTGTATTATAAATGTTTCATTACCGAAAAAAGTAAAAATATGTGACAACTGTTGTTGACTGCCTGGACGATTTAGCTACTGTGGGCGTATGTTTCGTTGCCTGGCAACCTATCTTTATGACTTGGACAGCTAAATCCATGATACAGTATTAAAAGTTTTGTATACAAAACGTTAGCATGGGGCAGAACTTTATAAAAACCAAACAAATTCTAATGGTTTTCTGAGTTGTTGCTCTTAATCAGATTTTAGTGTATTGTAAATGTTTCATTACCGAAAAAAGTAAAAATATGCGACAACTCTTGTTGACCGCCCGGACGATTTAGCTGCTGTGGGCGTATGTTTCGTTGCCTGGCAACCTATCTTTTTTGTAATTTAACACCCATGCCTTTCTTACACGTACAAATTTATGGAGAATATGAAAGTAATAACACAAGCGATGTCTCATATAGAATGTGTTATTGGGTCATATATAATATAATTCATATGGGGTTTAACGTCCTACTGTTCTGCTCAGACTAGGCTAATGAAGATGGGCATGCGCTATACCGCGTGCAATGAAGGAAAAATTTGCCCGGGCAGCGGCACTATGGCCTACTCTTATATCGAATTCCAACTGCCAAGAGATCTTTTACTTGCACGTCAATGTGTACACGAGGCCTCGGTTTTTCATACCATCCAAACGACTAACAGTTGTCCTTGTCAGGCCTACTGAACTTTCTCGGCAAATGTAGGGATCGAAAATGCGACCTTCAGACAAGCGAGCCAGCGTTTTACCCAATAAGCCACCTTTGGTCCATAATTCATGGGATGCAGAATTATCTGTTACAGCTTAAGGACCACCTTTTTGATCGGACTGAATTATATAATTTACAAAATTTGACAGAGTAAATATACAGTTTTTTGTATTCTTCAGATAGTGTAATGATCAGTCAGCCGAGCTGCAATGAAGCCGAGATAATAACAGCAGTTTCGGCTCATCTAAAATATGAGCCGGACAGAAGAGGGACCAATTAAGTACATGTACAGTTTAAATTTGTTTATTACATGTCATATTTTATTATAATCTTTATAAGCCATTTTAAGTTCTTTTATCATCCATTTAATTTTATTTTATTTTCTATGTGTGATGTCCACAAAATGTTAACTGCGCCATTGAGTATTGAGTGTTTTATATTGGTAATAGGCGCATTATAAATAATAAATTATTATTATTATTACAGTACCAATTGCATTAAAATTACTTTCTCATTTTTAGCAATATCATTCATTACCCATTACATTGAAAGTAAATAATTACATTTTATTACTATTTAAAGATTAGTGCTAATTTAGCATTTAATCAATCAGATTTAAAGACATGCATACCATTGGATAGTTCGCACTGATGTTTATATATATATTTATATCTTTCTCATTTTATTTATTTGTGTATATATGCTTGAAAACGACTTGTGAAATCTTGTTGAAACGTTGCAGTGAAATAAACCATAGTAATTGTTATTCCATAAAAGTGCGTTATTTGATTATGTTCTAATTACTAAATGCCATTCAAAGAATGCGCCATTAAATGTAATTGAAATGTAATTGACCATTACATGATTTTCGGAATGTAATTAATTACATTTCCATTACTCATTACTTTTGAAATCTTCCATTACTCATTACATGACCATTACTTAAAATTTAATGATCAGATTCTATTACCTTTACCCATTACTGCAAAGTTATATGACTCTAGCATTAATATTGTCTGTAATATAATCGTTTGAATTGAATGTTTTGAAACTACGTACTGTCCTATTAATTGATACTGATTTTATTCAGAAAGAAGCAATTAGATTGGTTGTGATGGGACACAATAACTTTGATTCTAATTGAGTGAGAGTGTTGAAACTTCACGTATCGTTTCACTATGTCAAAACCGTGGCCCAAATCTGTCGGGCATTTAAGCCCCCCCCCCCTTCCCCGCACACACACCTAATTTAACTTCCATTCTGCCCGGCCGCCTATTCCCGTCTTCGTTAGTCCAGTAGGGGCAGAACTGTAGGGAGTTCGGATGGGGCTTATACTGGGTTTTATACAACCTCAAAACAACAAATTCTGACGTCGTGACAACTTTTCGCCAACCACCACACAACGTTGCAAAACAACAAATTCTGACGTCGTGACAACTTTTCGTCAACCACCACACAATGTTGTGACAATGCTGCTTGAACGTCCGTACAACGTTGTCACAACTTTTCGTCAACCACCACACAACGATGTGACAATGTTGCTTTGACGTCCGTACAACGTTGTCACAACTTTTCGTCAACCACCACACAACGTTGTGACAATGTTGCTTTGACGTCCGTACAACGTTGTCACAACTTTTCGTCAACCACCACACAACTTTTCGTCAACCATCACACAACGTTGTGACAATGTTGCTTTGACGTCCGTACAACGTTGTCACAACGTAAGAGTTTGTTGCAAAACAACCTACAGCTGACTTATTTCAGACGTTGTGATACAACCTCTGAAAAACGTTGTCACAACGTTCTGTGCCCGCTGGGATACTGCATTTTATCAATAAAATTAATTATACATGATAAGTTCATAAAAGGTAATCATATCAATATATTGAAAAATAAATGAATACTTCCACTAACTAGTTACCAAGTGGTTTTTTTCCCCAGATTATTAGGGTTTCACAACAGTACATAGCTATGGTGGTGAAACACTACTGCTTTTGATCCATATTTGTCATCTTTTTATTTCATTTTGCTTATTTCTCAGAGCCTACTTATTGGATCGTTTTCAAATCTTGTCAATGCGCACAGAAAGCTGGGGGTTGAATTTTGATTTGTAGGTTAAACAAATAATCATTTTTAATGGTATATTACTTTTCAAAGATACTTTCCAACAAAAGTATTTATCGGGTGGTTATCCAATAAAAGTATGGCAATTTTGGTGTAGAAAAATTCAATCTTACTAGAAAAATATTGGATTCCCTAAAAAACACCCATAAAGCGCATACAGGACAAAAATGTAAAGGTTTCCCTAACCGGCAACCTGACGATTAGTGTTGATGTATATGTTGATAAACTTGATGGTAAGTGGACTAGAAAAAAGTGAGAGACTTAAACGTAGAACAGTTTCTGAGATAAAAATAGGTTGCCAGGCAATGAAACAAATGCCCACAGCAGCTAAGTCATCCGGGCAGTCAACAAGAGGTGTCGCATATTTTTTCTATTGTCGGTAATGAAACATTTATAATACACTAAAATCTGATAGAGAGTAACAACTTATTAAGTAATAATAGAATTTGTTTGGGGTATTAACTTTAGCCTCTAGCGCGTCCACAAGATATTTCAAAGTCCTCAAAGGTCAGTAATTATCGGAAATCATTGAAAATCAATAGGAGGCTTCGTCAAATGGCCTTTAACCTTGTGTATAAATCTAAAGTCAATCGGATATTATTTTTAGCTCTAGAGTGTTCAAAGCAATTGTGGGTGCCAGACCGATGGATGGACAGTGACAACAACAACATACGACCACATTTCAATGTGGACATATAAAAACCACAGAAAAAGACGCGGGCAGTGGATAATCTGGGAATTTAATTGTGTTTCGATATTTATAATAAATAGACAGTGATTAAAGAAATGAAATGAAATGGGGTTTAACGTCCTACTGTTCTGCTCCTAATCTGGGCTAATGAAGACAGCAGTGATTAAAGACAACTACGTCTTGTATATGCAATGTATTCTTCTCCAGCTTCACACCCATTGCATTAGCCAAGTCATGTGACACAAACAGGACTTCTTTTAATAAATTTGTATAAGTTAGTGGATTTTCTCACGAAAACAATGTTTGAAAAGGATTTGAAGCAAAATTTTGATTGATTAATTAGTTTGAATATGTTTTTAGTCCAAATATATTATGACCGACATAAGTCATATGATTTCTATATATTAAACACCAATGTTACTTTTCTCATTTTGGTAAACATATCTTCGACAACATTAATATATTTTAAATATATTTTATTTACATAATTATTTCTCAAGTAAGATACGTGTTCCTAATTATTTCTTAAGTAAGATACGTGTTGAATTAAACAGACACTGGCATGAGTGATATATTGTTCTTATAAAAACACATAGTCAATTAACTCTTTACAACCAAATATCAACTGGCGCCTGGGTTATAGAACCTTATTAAACCAGCCACTGGCTATTAGGTCAGATATAATTTAGACGAAGCATTAAAGTCTAAACAATGGAGGGATTAAGTATTGGTCATTAACCAAACTCTCTATAAAACGAACTATTGTTTTAGATTTCAACTTAGAAGCAATATTTTATAGTTTAATTGTCAATGTGTCATAATTGCCTATTATACATTTTGTGGAATTGTATTTCAAATAGAGAGTGAGCTATGGTTTAGAACGGATCGGATCTCTCTCTTTCTTGTAAATATTTGTTGATTTATCTATGTTTAATAAATCACATAGAAGTTACTTGGACTTAGTCTTAATTTTATAAGACCAGAAATAACGTGGTCACAATATCATCAAATATCCCAGTTTGTACACAGTAAGGTATCTTTAATTCTTCAAAATATTTACAGTAGAACTTGCTCGGGCGTGCACTCCTAATCAGCGAACACTTGCTTCAACGAGCACCCAAAAATCACCCCCCCCCCGAGCGATTTTTAAGTAATTTAACCCCTACTAAACACGCACCTGTTCAACGCGTGCAACAGGCATCACGATTAATTCCCCCCGTAAAAATTCAACTGTTTCAACGGTCACTCCTCTAACGCGGCCAGTGGTCACTATTTTACTAATAAATTCAACAAAACATCGCCCATTCAAAATTCAACGGCCATTGTTGAATGATACCATTTTGTCGTTCTTTCTTTGTAACACCCCCGCTAATCCCGTGAGTAGTAGTTAATTAACTGGACCCCCACTGATCAGGTAAAAAGAAATGTAAAAATAACAATCTACCCGGGATTATTTATTAAACGAATAACCTGATCATTGTTTTCACGCGTAACGAAACATTATTTGATACTTTGTTGTTAAACAGACGTTTTAGCGCCCCCTATAATATTACATACAGAGTTACACCCCCTGTAAATCGGTGATAAAATCAGCGATGTTTTTTGTTCATGTGTTTTTTTGATAAAATAAAATTAATTCATCAATTTTCTTCACAAAAATGGATAAATATTATCCAATGCATCACAAAGGTAGACAGTAGTATCAAAGGTTGGTACAAAATGACAAGTTTACAGAAGTTATGCTCGAGATTTGAGTAAAGAATTTTCATTCGGCGCAAGATTCAGCGAAGTTTATCGATGCAAGTATTGATGTTCGCTCCCAATGCACCCAAGCGTAATTAATTTGTGTCAGCACAAAAAGCACCGAGATTTTATTAGGTGGTCGCGTAATCGCTAAAATAGTTGGGGTGGGAAGTACTCAAATTCACAGCATTTTGAAACGCTATGATTCAGTATGATGAAAGTAAAAGAAATATTGGGGGGGCCAGAGATTCAGTATTACTAAACAAACATGTATATGTGACTACTTTGAATTCACAACTACATAAAAAGTACATGTATTGTTATTGTTATACTACATGAATAAAAAAATATATGCAATCTATATCTTTATTTTTTGTGGTAGGGGTTGGGGCAATATTGGATACCTCTAGTCAAAGAGCACCTCCATTAAGCAAGCATTTTTAAATTTCCCTTGGGTGCTTGCTTAATACAAGTTCTACTGTAATTGTAACTTCCTCATAAACAACATTAAGCATTATTCTATACAAACAAACCAAAATTAAATCAAGTATTAGTTTCTAATTTCAGAGAGAGAGAGAGAGAGAAATGGGGTTTAACGTCCACTTGACACAAACTAGGATATTTTAGGACTAACATATGGTTTAATTTTATTTCAATAATTCGTTTGTGCGTAGGGGTCTTTAGCAGTGGGGGGAGGACCCGGAGAAAACCCACGTACAACTGGGGAATCGAAACCACGCCAGTTGACTCAATGACAAGCCTTATGATACAGAGCGCACTTGCTAACCATTCGGCCATCCAACCCCCCTTTCTAATTTCAGCCATTTCTGCAAAATTTTACTTGAATCGATCTCATTACGTCCTTTTTTTTATGCCCATAACGG